ATCGTTGATCCACCAAGTCCATCGTTGTCAATTGAGAGTCATCACAAATTTAATTTAGATTACAAATTGGATCCACATGACAAGCAATACAGTGGCAATAGTATGGAAAGACGTAAGTTTGATCAATTAAAAAATTATTACATGAAAATTATATATGCATATATTTTAATAATTTTTCTAATAATGCAGTAAGCGTGGAGTTACCCAACTCAGGCTTCTCTCCGCAAGCTACACGGCGTATAAGCAGTGGAAGTTTGTTGAAGGCATCAGAAGTTGTGTCGTTGATGGCAACTACCGCTCGTTTAGGTGGCTCGAGCATGAGCTTGCGCCACGAAAGAGCAAAATCTGTAGACAAAACGGAAGACGTGAAGAAACTTCCTATAATAAATCCTTTAGTTCGATTGCCCATGTGGCCAAGTGAGTAAAAATACAATGTTGAAATATGATCTTTCTTATTTTATATAATTATTTACGTGTCTTTTTTATAAATACAGATGTAAGTGGAGGAGCTGGTCTCATCAGTCAAGTTTTATTGGCAAATGCAGACGCTCTATGTGCACCGGTATCGCCATTAATGGATCCAGATGAAACATTGATGTAATTTACACATTTACACATCTGATATCATTATGTAATTAGTACATTTGACGTATATATAGATATCACGAAATTTTTTTTGTACTATAGGGAAGGCTACTTTGAACGATGTGTCATGAATAATTACTTCGGTATTGGCATAGACGCAAAGATTAGTCTTGATTTTCACAATAAGAGAGAAGAGCATCCTGAGAAATGTCGATCGCGTGCTAAGAATTATATGTGGTACGGTGTCTTGGGTTCTAAAGAGTGGATACAGAAAACTTATAAAAATCTTGAGCAGAGAGTTCAATTGGAGTGCGACGGTCAAAGGATACCATTGCCGTCCTTACAAGGAATTGTTGTATTAAATATACCAAGGTACTTGTGATAATAAATATATCTATATATGATTTTTATCTAAGTTATCCAATTTAAAAGCAAAATTTTATTCTCTAATAACAGTTTTATGGGCGGTACAAACTTTTGGGGAGGTACAAAGGAAGGAGATCTATTCTTGGCACCATCATTCGACGACCGTATATTGGAAGTAGTTGCGGTTTTCGGATCTGTTCAAATGGCTGCTTCGCGACTCATAAATTTGCAACATCACAGGATAGCTCAATGCCAAACAGTCCAAATTAATATCTTAGGAGAAGAAGGAGTTCCTATACAAGTCGATGGGGAGGCTTGGATTCAACCACCTGGTGTTATAAAAATTATACACAAGAATCGCATGCAGATGCTTTATAGAAATAGGGTATCTATCAAGGACTCGCAAACTCCTTTGTTGTTTTGCCATTAGTTGTCTACAGTATTATGGATTTTTAATAACAAATAATAACAAGATATGACATATATATATACCTTTAAGACTTGAGTTATAAGACAGTTATTGTGCAAGATAGTTACTAGTTATTAAAAATTTACAATGCTGCAGATAACTAATAACAGAACAATGGGAGTTTATGAATCCTAGTATTTATCGTGATTTTTTTAACGGAAAAAATAATTTTAATTTATGTAATCGAAAATATTTTTCGTCTTAGGCACTTGAAACCTCATTGAAAACGTGGGAAGAGAAACAGCGCAGTACATTAAGCGCTCAATCTTCTTCTATAAACAATACATCGCAATCCAGACCACAATTGCAACTTTGCAATAAGCCTCCTCAGTTGAACGATGAAGAATTAAATATCCTATTAAGTTTTATTGAAACCGTAACAACCTTGGTCAAGTGGGTAAAACTACTGATTATATCCCATCCGACCCTGGAAAGAGATCTGTACCAAGTAGCCTCGCGAACAGCATACGCGCTTGAACAAGTACATCCCAATGGTAAAATCTTACAAGGGGTAAGTTTGAATTAGGGAATTAGAAATTTGTCACGATAATCTACTTATTTTTTTAACTTTTTCGATTTGTTAATACAGGTAAGCCTGAGACCCATGGTAACTGAGTTAGTATCAAGCGCACGGCAATTATACGAAGAATCTTGTGAATTACTGCGCGATAAAGCACATAACTTGGTGAGCGGAGCAAATGTTGTGACTGTAAAATATTAACGCAATAATTAAACTAACAGTTATCTCCTTAACGTAGAAATTACGAGAAGATTTAGAAAACAAGTTATCTGTATCTCTAGCTCAAATGGAACAGCAATTACGAAAATGTACCTTTGATGAAGGAGGCACAGGGCTGGTTTACTTGCAAAATATTCCCGCAGATGATCAGGTATAGTTCTTTCTTATAATGCTTAATGCAATGCTGCTTAAAGTCAATTATTTAAAGAGATACGAGTTATGAAATTAACTATTTTTACATTTTTGTCATGTATTTTGCATTGTGATAAAATTTACATATACACTGAGAAAAAATTTATTAAATTTTAATAAATATTATTTTGAATGGTCCTAGCAAAATATTTATTTACGGTAAATAAATATTTATATAAATGACAAAAAAAATCAAATTGAATCAATAGTTTTTGTATCTAACAAATACATGTTTAAATTTATTAAATATATTCTAGGAATATTCAAAGAAATATTTATTAAAATTTAGTAAATTTTTTTCACAGTGTACATTTTGTAATATTTACCATACAGTTAATTGACGGAATACTAATTGAATTTTTAATATTTAATATACAAAAAGTTTATTTTATAAATATTCAAGTATTCGCGCTCACAAACATAATTTAAAGAATTAGATTTATATAGATATCTTTGGGAGGTACAATTAATTTATCTGTGCTATATTTATAGTTATTCATAGTTTTCCACAAGATTATTAAAATCAAATAAAATACATTGATAATAAAATTAATGATAAAGTTTTCCATTATCTTATTCTATTGGTATTCGATATTCCATCTTGCCAGTATATTGCCAAAAGAAGATTATATAAAACACTATTCTTGTAAATAAGTTTTGAGAAATGCTAGTTAGTTGGATAATACAAAGATAATAATATTATGAAAGCACCTCTCTTTACATACATATTTTACACGAAAATTTACAATCTTTTTTGAGAAAAGTTTACAATTCATTATGCGTAAATGTTGTTTTCAAATGATAATTAATACATTATCCTATGCTTTGTTTCGGATTGATTGAGTGCTCAATCCCAGTGCTGGTAATATGCTTTTAAGTATTAATGCTTATGACATTAGAGAAATAGAATTAGCATTTTAGAGACTTAGTTTTGCGGAACATGATGCTGATTATTTTTGTACGTTTGTATGTATGTGCGTGCGTGCATGTATTACATCTGCTGAGAGATGGAATTGCCGTTTAGATTGCCTTTTATTTGTTTATTCTCGCTTGCGGCTCTACTATAGTCCACAGTGAGACAAACATATATTGTGTGATATTTAGCGACGCTGTACTTATCTTCAGTTACATTAGCCAACGCAACACATCTGAATATGCACTTGAATTATATGCAACTTAACTTTTACTTTTGTTATCGCGCCTCCGGTTTCTCATGATTTCGTGAGAGTTTGTTGCACTGTAACAATGAGAGGGGAACTTTCGTGATTTTATGAGAGATGTATCTTTTAGTGAATGTATATGAATCTTGCTAAAGTACAACAATAAATATATATAATGGAATATCTTATATATATTGTCTCATATATATTGTCTCATTAATGTATACCGAAAGCATATCTGCAGTATTTGCGCGACTTTGAATCACACTATCGCAAACGACCATATAGGCCATTCGAGAGCTACTTTGTATGCCTGACGAATCCATTATCACGTATAATCCCGAGTGCAAATCTTCACCTGCATATGATTAGCATGTTTCTAACGTATGCGTATAAAATAGCATACCGCTTTACTACTAATCTGACTAACCGTGTACTAACCGACATCTCGAACTCTGGATCTGCAGGGAGATAAAAAAAATCGTCATCGAGGGTTATTTTGGTTGAAGTGTCGTCGCATTGCTGGCAGCGCGGGTCCGGCTCGAGATCTGGTTACTACTTGGGGAGTTCCGGAGGTCTGTGCGTGGTTGGAAAATCTGCGACTGGCAGAATATACGGAGAAATTCATTGCTCATGATATACGAGGTAGAGAACTATTAACCCTAGCTCGTCGAGATCTAAAAGAATTAGGAATTACAAAGGTTGGACATGTGAAACGTATTTTACAAGCCATCAATGATCTGAACAACTGAGTTCAGGTCATGTAAGATGTTATCCCGAAGAGGGCATATTCTTCTGTTTCGTTAATGTTGTATTAACGTTTTAGGGCAAGAAAATATCTATTTTCTATGAATTTATTTCGTTTGTATGTTCTTACTCTAAAACGTTATAATTACAATTCTCGAATAATACTGTGGGGATTAAATGGAAGGAAATGTTGAAATCCATCTAATGTTACTGCACGGAAGGAGACCATCTTATTTGTTATTGTATAATAATAAATTCAGCATTACTTTTGTGAGTAGTCTTTGTATGGAAGGAAACCATTTTGTCTGTGTCGAATTCTTTATTAAAATATCGTACATGCGAAATGATTTCTTTCCATATAAAGACTACACACAAGAGCGAAGCTGAATTTATTATGCACTAACAAATTTTCAGCGCAATTCTATTTATATATCTGTATATATAGTACAAAATACGTGATTCTAGAATAGGCACTTTTGTCCTTTTAGATATACATTGAAATGTAAAGAAATTTTCTTTAATGTTGCAAATAAGTTGATTTAAATTCATTAGTGTTTTATACAAGACATTGTATAAAAGACAAAAATAAGTAAGTCGTTGTAAATCTTATTAATATCCTACCTAGAGTATTAGTATTCCACTATTAGTCTCTATTAGAATCCACTATTAGACTTCAAAGGTCACAAGTTTATATCACAAATAGTTCAGATTTATGTTATAATATATATATTCATGATCTTACTTTGCAAAGTAAGGAGAGTTTCCATGTCTCTTTTAGATACATATATCAATCTGTACATACCATTTTCAATCTGTAATAAAATTATAAAATATATTAGTCAATTGTTTAAATGTATAAGTATGTATGATTTTATGAAATTTTATTGAAAATAATGTTAATCGAAAAAGCTATATAACAGGAAGGCATTTACCTGATATATTTTTCTAACAAAAAAAAGATATCAAGAAAGTTCAGAATGTTAATCTCTGATAAATAATTTTGATTATTAAATATTATTAAATATTATTTCTAATATTTTTACAAATTTTCAAAGTATTCATATAAAAACACAAATATTTGTAAACACAGATTTTAAATTAGTTTTATGCAGAATGTGTATATAATACCTGTTTTTATATGTTTCAAAGATTTATTTAAGTCAGCGATAGCTTTAAAAACGTTGAAAATTAACATACACCCTATTGAAGCAATAAAGGAAAAAAAGAATATATCTTCTCATAAGTCTGCTCATCTTCAGTCAAAATTACAAACGGCTACGAAAAATTCATTCAGGTAATTAAATATTTAAAAATTAAATCAATTTTCCAGAAAAAAAGGAAAATAATAAATTAAATTCTTTATGTCTTAAAACTATATATATTGTAATGAGGACATACACAGCGTGGTGCGCAATACATAAAATATATTTACTATAATTTTACATTACTGTACTTGTTGATACCAAATTTCTTGAACGTTTCGATTTATTTGGATAGTATCTTAAAGTAATATTGTATGTCTATAATTTATTTCTATAATATACTGTAACATATTATAATGAATTGCGCTTCGAATTGTGATTTGCAAAGATGAAGTTATTCACTTCGTTGGATAACTTCCAACGAAGAGAATTAACGGCATTTCTCAATTAAAAAATAATATACTCATCCTCTGTCGAACGCAGTGACCACCTCCAACATATGCGGATTAGAATATTGTTCATGGAAATTATATGGATTGCTGATGATGTTGGTAGTTTAAAATGAACCGAAATGTTCAAGAAATTTGTTATCAACAAGTACAGTAATGTAAAATTGTAGTAAATGTATTTTATGTATTGCACACAAGTATATTCGCTGTGTATACTCTCACTCTTGCTGGCTAATTAATATTTATTATTGTTTGAATTTCGAGAATCCTATTAAATATAATTTGATTTTTGCTAATATATTGTAATTTTCATGCTTATTTAATATCTATCAATTTTTATAACTGTCTTCTGCTCTTTTTATATATATATAGATATACTTATCAATGTCATCTTGTGTGTATTCTTCAGATATTCCTGCAGTAAGATTATTAATATATGAAATATTGACAATCTCATATTATCGTGTGCAATCCACATGTGTATGATAATATTCCTTTCCAAAATGTGTATATGTTGTTTTATATAGGAAAAGATGAGATAAGGCAGATTCCTTAAGCGGAAATGGCTTTTTTTAATTAATGAAACAAATGAAATTTAACATAATGAAACTTTGAAATGTTCATTGCGAAATCATAATTAAATTTTCAAATCTTACAAAAGTTGTATTATTATTAAGATTTTTATAAAACTTAATTTTGATCCATTTTATCTTATAAAGTACTAATAAAATTTTAGGGTTGTCACAGACCTGGAAAACTGAAAAATCAGGAAAATTGAAATTGGTCATGAAAAACCGGGAAAAGTTAGGGGAAAATGTAAAAGAGACTGGAATTTTAAATTTTGCTCACAATTCTCTTAAACTGTTCCTATTCTAAATAATTTTTATAATTTTTTTAAATATTATATTTGATATTTATAATCAAATACGTTCAAAACTCGTGCACTTTAAATGATTTTTTTTAAATAATTAAAATTTATATTTTATTCAATAATTTTATTTGATCTTTTTTCATCATAACTGCATTCTTTTTTTCAAAACTGATTTATTTGTTGGCTTGAATTTGCCCCCAAAATTTTATTATGCTACTAAACTTCTATATTTTTAATAATATAAGCTAACTTTTTTATAATGTTAAAATTTTTACATATTTTATATTGGTCATGGAAATTTCCCGTTTTTATTTGGAAAACCTGGAAAAATCAGGGAATTTTAAAGTTCATTTTCTGTGACAAAACTGAATTTAGTAAATGAATCATTTTACCCCGCAATCCGTCTTACCTCACCTTTTCCTACTTTATTAAAATAAAGCAATTATCGAATATACCTCACAATTTATGTGAATATTGAAAAGATGTTAATCTTAACGTACAGATGTCAATCTAAATGTTAATCTTAATATATAAACAAATGTATTTAATCGTAATTACTATTCCTAATGAACAGTATTTTAAAAATAAGCTTCAAAGGAATTTGAAGAAGAAATTGTATTCATAGAATATAAGATTTTCAGGAATCTATTTGCACTTATACGTTTTCTAAACATTTTTTTCACTTGAGATGTATCTTATACTTCTTTTCAAATGTATGTATTCATGAGAGCACATTTTATCCTTTTACTTGTGATATTTTCCTAATCTTAAAGTTATTATTATGTAATTCGGAATGGATGAGCAGATTTACATGAAGATATATTTTTTCTTCTCAATTTGTGACGTCTTTTATCACCAACTTAAATAATCTTTGAACTATATATAAAAGCAATGGTATTATACACATATTTTGTATATAAAACTAATTTAAAATCATTGGTTGAAAATGTTCGCATTTTTGGTAAATTTTTAGATCAGGGGACTCCCCCCCCCCCCCCAATAATCTTGACTTTGACATATGTACACCCTGTATATTCGCGGAAAATATAATCACTATTAAATTTTATTTATTATTTGACGATTATTTAATGGGTATATAATAATCTAACCTGTGTACCATGTATTCCATCGAAAATTACGTGTTATTCATATAGCAGAATAAAACGTTATTTTTCACACAAATTTATTTTATTAATAATAACTCTTTAACTGATAATGAACTTGATGGAGGGAGATGGGGTGAGAGTCGCTTCGCGTGGAAAGCCGAACATTTTTAAGCAAAAGAAGATATAGAATAGTACTTAATATCGTATGTATAGTAGAAATAATACGTTATTTTTGAAACTTTTGTTATTAATAACTTTTTAACGAAGGACGAGCGACGGCTAAAACTTGTTGGAAGTCACTCAAGATCAAGATCAATAGGTGGAAGGTCCTCTGATCTAAAGATACCGCGTTTTTATATAGTGAATAATTTGAAAATTTCTAAAAATGCTTGAAATAATTCAGTTTTGACAATCAAAATTATTTATCAGAGATTAACATTGTGAACTTATCTTGTTATATTTTTTTGTTAAAAAAATATATTAGATAAATGTCTTCGTGTTTTATACACATACAGTTAAATAATTGATCAATAAACCTTATAGTTTTAGATGAAAATGGTAGTATAAATTGATATATATATATTAGGTGTAGTAAAAAGAAATCCATTATTTTTCCAATAGATGGATTTCTTTTTACTACCTAATATATATATAATTTTTTTTTATTTTAAAAATCAGAGACATAGAAAATCTCTAGTTTGCAAATAACCATGAATACATACATTACAACTTTTCTTCCTTTATTAAATCTGACAGTACTGTGATAAAAACTAATCTGTAATGCAAGAAAAATTAATCTCTACGATATTAAAATATTATTTATATTCCAATATTTTAGCAATATACAATATTTATAATATTCTTGAGGCTTCCACGGGTGCTTTCTATATAAAGATTATGCATTTCGCGGGTTTTTTCCGTGCCCATTCTTGGAATGCCTTTGGAACTGTATTATAAATCCTGTGCTGTATAAGAAAAATCTCGCATTGGATCGAAAAAGCTATTTAAGAATAAACGTGTTCAATTTGTTATATACAAGCACTTTATCTTGATGAAAGTAGATACATAAAATCTACTATTGCCAAGATAATTACGCATAATTTCTACATGTATTAATCTTTTTGTACTTAAGTATATTATAAATTACATATTGCATTATATAAGATGAAAATTTTACGAATTATTCACACTCTGTATAAAGAGATCACTATTCTGTAATAAAATTAAATATCAAAATTCTGTATTAAAAAATTTCTACATTACTCTTTTCCCTAATAAACTAATTATTTAAGTTATAAAAAATATGAAGAAATAGTAATATTACAAAACCACATTAATATTTTAATTGTGCTCGATATTGTTTAAAATTTTTTTTTGCATTTTACAATTATTTTTACATACAATGTAAATAGTGTTATAGATTAGTATAATGTTAATACATATGATACATATATACACGACATATTAAAATGGATGATATTACACTAATATGTTGATATATGTACATTAATGTAATAATATTAATATTAATTTAATGAATTCATATATTTAGCAAATGTTTTATGTAAAAAATCGATGCCACTATTAACGAAAAGATACAATATATGTATTTTTTTAATTAAATAAAAATATTTTGTCTACATTTCAATATATTTGTTCCTTATAGATATAAAATGTACACAAAATATTTTTATTTAATTTCCTTAAATTAAATTTATAAAATATTTAACTACATCATGTTAAAATTAAATTATATACACAATTGTTTTTGTTTTTCTAGCAATACATGCAATCATTTTTGGAAGATACTTGAATAACATTGATGAACTCGCGAAACTGTTTTTTTTTTGCAGAATTACATCCTCCCTGTAGAAATATATATAAACTAGATTTATTTTTTTAAATGTATTTTACCTTTGACAGTACAATCCATTTGCAATTACACAACATATATAAGTTCTCAAGAAACACAACGCTGTAATCGCAATAACGTTCTATCCTTTCCCAAAATTTCCATCATTTCAGCAACAGGTGGTCCAATCTATGAAGTATTAATATTATATATTATACATATATTAATAGCTTTTTCTTTACAATAAATATATATTTATATGCTATATTTACATTTACGCCGCTCATAACGCTTCTCAGAGTTTTCATAAAAGCAGCGAATGGTACTCCGTTCTTTTTGGCAAAATCTTTTAGATAAGGTGCCATCCAATCGGTCTTGTAATTACTCGCATCTATTTCCACTAATTCCGCGTTCAATAGTTTAATCGCATCTGAAATAATGTAATAACACATAATTTTTGACAAATAGGACTCGATATTTTTCGTACAAAAAAATATTAATACCTGAACATCCATCTTGTTTAACATTTGGCATAGAAGATGGAACAATCCATAAAAATGCTAAATCTTCTTTGACGAGATCATTAAGTGTCGTTATCCTGTTTTGTGCCCATTTAAATGTTGTTATTATGTGATCATCATCTAATTGCAAATTTCCATCATTTTTCCTAAAGTATATAGAAATGATATAAATATTTTTTTTTTAAGTAAGATTATTAGCAATGCTACATGTAGAATTAAACATACCATTCGGGGAAAGTTTTTAACACTAATTTCTTAATTTTTTCAATAAAAAATTTATGATTTTTTTCATTTCGTAGTAAATTCGCCATTTCCAGTTTATTAAATTCCAATAATTTCTCAGGCATAAGTTTGCCAGAACTTAGTTTTATTTTTGTAATATCAAACTGCACAATGAAAAATAAAATACATATCAATAGAACGTAAATGTATTTTATATTTTTATATTTTTATATTTTTATATTTTTATATTTTTATATTTTTATATTTTTATATTTCATTTATATTGAAGAATAGCTTAAAAAAAATGCTTTGTAAATAGAAGCAATTACCTGTTTAATTAATTCCTCATAAGAATAAAGATCTTGGTTGTCTTGTTCTCTGTGAAAACCACCACCAGCTCCTATCACATAATTCAATAATGCTAGTGGAAAAATACCTTGTTTCCGGAATGAGTCGATTTTTATGTCACCTTGTCTTTTTGATAATTTAGATCCATCTGCATTCATTATCAAAGGTAAATGTCCGTATATAGGAGGATTCCAACCAAATGCTCTATAGTAAATAACATTTGTTATCTAATCAATTGCAAGAATTCACAAGACATTTTATTATCTTAAATAAAACTACTTACTTGTAAAGCATAATATGTTTAGATGTAGAAACTTGCCATTCAACACCACGTAAGACATGAGATATCTCCATAAAGTGATCATCGACTACGTTTGCAAAATGGTAAGTAGGATAACCATCTGATTTTATGATAACTGGATCTCCCTCAGATTTAGTGATATCATGCAAGACATCTCCATAAACTAGATCATGAAAGGTTTCTGGTGTGGATGATAACTAAGACATTCAATAAAATGATTATTATAAATCTGTGACTATTAGTCCATTGATCTGTTAGTAAGTTTAAAAGACGTACCTTAAATCTAATACAATAAGTCAAGTTTTTCTTAATCATTTCTTTTACTTCATCCTTAGTAAAATGTCGGCATCTGTTATCGTATTTAGGTATTTGTCCACATTTCATTGCCTCTTTCCTCAGCAGGTCCAGTCTTTTCTCTGTGCAGAAGCAATAGTAAGCAGATCCATTGTTCAAGAGTTTAAGCACCTGCTCCCTGGAAATAATATAAAAGAAATAAAAGAATAGAAATTAAAAATAAACTCCATTCAATTTCTGCATTCAATTTACCATCATATATATTCTTCTGTAGACTGTTCAATCTCTACTAGTATTCCAACAAAATTTATAGCAGATATTTTGTTTTTGGTAGATTTGCAAATCTGAGCACCAAGATATATACATACTTATATAATTCAAGCCTTGACGATTGTATATAAGGACTAACAGGGCCTCCTCTGGTAGGATCTTCATCAGATATAATCCCTGCCCATAGCAAATCATCCTGGATTTTTTCTATTGCTCCAGGAATTGTCCTTGTTTGATCGGTGTCCTCGATCCTCAAAATAAATGTGCCATTGTTGCTACGTGCAAATAAATAATTGTACAACGCCGTGCGCAATCCTCCTAAATGCAAGTGGCCTGAAACATATGAATAAGGATTGACTCTGGAACAACTAAGACTAAGATAACGCCCAGTATTTATATTGATATTTTTTCAGTAAAACTGAATGTTTTGCAAAAAAGAGAAAATCGGCATAAATAATGTAATGATCGTTACCGGTAGGGCTGGGCGCAAATCTAACCCTCACGTGGTATTTCTTAAAGAAGCGTCTTTGCAACAACTGGAGACTTGTCGCGCGGAGTATACTACGCTGCATATTTACTGATGTGTGCGACTCCGACGAGTCACAGGGAAACAAGGTCGTGCCGCCTCGTGCCACACAATGCGAATAGCGATAATGGAATCCAAACCTCACTCCATTCGATTTCGAATTGTTTCGAATCACAATTGGAACGTTCAGAAACCTAGAACGGCTCGGATCTTGTAACTCGAGTAGCAAATGTTTATACAGTTGGTCTACTTTTATTTCAGGAAAATATGAATCCGCTTTTAGATGTATACGCAAAAAAATATTATCGCATTTTTAAATTCGCGCCATTCTGGAACTTGTCTAGGTCTGTTCTTTTTTCACCCCAAGTCACAGTATAAGTACATACAATAAGAGTTACATGTAGCACGATTATATGAATCAAAGCTACGTTCCAAAACTTTCTCTCCGAGGAAGATTTTACTGTATATGCTATAGTATACGTCACGTGTACTATATATTTCGAGTAAAATTTTCCTCAGAGAGGAAGTTTTGGAACGTAGCCTAAATATCAATTTATTATCTCGGGATCAATTCTCTGTATCTTGAAACGAGGTGAAAATTATAAAAGCAAATTTACTAGATGTACTAATGAAATTATCGTATTCTAGTAAATTCGTACTTTTGTAATTTTCACTTCGTTTCAAGATACAGAATCGATCCCCTCCAGTCTTGAAAAGTGAACGATACCGAAGAAAAGTGGACGTTGCTATGTAGTTTACAAGAATTTTTCGTCAAGGCTGCAACCTATAAAAGGTCTGTTCGCGTGGTTTGAAATCCTTAAAAACTTCTGCTAAAAACTTAAAAGGAAATAAATATATATATTCGAATGTTAAAGAGAAAGACAAAGCGAAAATATTGGGTCATCTAAAAAGTATCCGCGGTACTTTGTCAGATATATGATCATCAACACACATCTAGTGACAAAAAACCGCGGATACTTTTTAGATGACCCAATATAATACTAAGTGCAAGAAGTACAAACAACACGAACAAACCTATAATATTTTGAACGGGCTGAAGTGAGCTCTACCGAATTTTCAAATATTCAAATTTTAACGCGATTTTTAATTAATTCTTATGCTAAAATAATTATTTTATTGATAATTTTGATGATCCTAGAAGGTAGTATTCTCGAGAGCTGCGTACATTTCTATTCTTGCTATCTCCAAAGTCTTCAGGTACATTTAAAAGAACGATATTTGAAAAAATATTTAATAAAAATGGAGCAAAAGTAGGATAATAGGAGTCTGTTTTTTAGACCTGCACTAGAATTTTTTTTTTCGTTTTTATCAAATATTAAACATATATCTTTTTCATTTTAAATTCTGAAAATATATACTAATTCTATTATAGAAAACAAACCTTCACTGTTTCCACTAATTGACTTTAATAGAAACTAATTCTTAGAACTAGAAAAAAATGAAGAATGACTTGAACTAAGACTAAAGTTTAAAAGGTTGTGTTTCCAAATTGCCAAACGTTCGTTTGATGTTGACATTATTACAGGGAGAATGAAAAAAGATAACTGAGGGATGAAAAACGATACATTAATTGCTGTTGCGAAATCGATCATTTTCTCTTTAATTCTTTCCCTTTCGCGCTATAAATTTTACATTTAGATTCGAATGTTCCCATTCCAATATATCTCTTTTTTTCTTCACTAAACCCATCGCATCAGGTTTAAAACGTGTATTATACATTCATGAACTTCGTAAACATCACTTTATATAGAACAGCAATGTACCCGAACAATTCTGTCTTTACACAATCTCCCGTCTCGTATATATATTTACACTTTCATTTCGACACAATCGCGCTAAGCCCATATCAAATTATGCATTGGAGATTGAGAATTACAAATTCAAAGTTAAAATTCGACCAATCAGATAATTTTCAATTTAGGCTGTTCCAAAATTCACCAGTGCTGAAAATGTATAGTAACGTAAACTGTAGATTTTCAGTGCTGGCAATGAATTTTGGAACACAGCCTTAATTCATTTCGTTTTGATGGATTAAATTTTAATCTCCAATTCGTAATCTTCATAGTCTAATATGGACTTTACAATTATAATGTAACGCATAAGCGATCGATAGATCTGGGACAGTGTATCCTGTGTACGATCATTATATTACACACGATCATATTTTACACTTCCCCTTCATCGATACAGGCAACTTTCGAGTATGCAAATTACGAAAACATAATATATACATTAATGATACTGCACGATTAGGTAAAAAAAAAGTTATACTAAAAATCAATTGCAACGATTGAACTTCACTTACGCCACAAAACATTCGAAAATAAAACATTATACATTAATTGTTCTGTCATTTTAGCGCCGAAATTTGACGAAACTGAACTCTATTCGGAAACGTTTTTTTTTTCATACGTAACGCATGTAATTGTAACATTCGTGTGGCGTGCAAAACAACGAGGAAGATTGAGCAAACAATTTCATAAAGCGTTAAGCTTTTTACAAGTCTAAACCGATTCTAAAAGTAGATCTATACATAATCCGAACGAAAAAGATTACTAGATATTACTTTATAATACAATATATACTTTACATATAATTTGCACATAGTTTTCTTCCTCGTCGAATCTAATAATATCGAAAAATAAGCATATATGTATATTATGCGCAAGTTAGAACTGTAAATATATCGGAATATTATTCCGAATATTCGTGAGTATAAATTAATTCGTATATTTGAATTATTAATTCATATAAATTAATAATTCAAATTATTAATTCATGAATTATTCGACTAAAATTTCCAAATTATTATTTATTTATTTATTTATTTATTTGTACAAACGTAGAATATTTAATGCGTATATCATATATTTACAGTCCTAGCAACAAATAAATATATATATTTTGTGTATATTTTAATCGTATTGACATATCGTATGTTTTTTTTTAGATTTCGATCAAAAGTTTGGCATGAATTGAAAAGGACAGATTAGAGATCACGAATTGGAATGCTGAGACGGTGTGAGGCTGCCGGTGTGCTCGGGACTGTGTTTCTGCTTTTTCCTCTTTTTCTCCTTCTTTCGCTTCTTCCTAGCTTCCTTTTCCTCGTCGTGTCTTTTCTGTTTCTTATGTTTCTTTTCATGCGTATCAGAACCACCCACGTCTGTTGTGGCTGTCTCCTGTCCACTGAGCACTTCTCCAGGCTTGTGCTTGTGTTTCTTATGTTTATTTTTGTGTTTTCTCTGAGGGGCTTGATTTATGTATCTATATTGTTCCGGCAGCTGTAAAATTACATTATGTAACTTAATGTTTTGCACATATACATCATTTTTTTTTAGAAAAAAAAAAATATATATTATTTATAATTCAAATTAGACCAAAAAGAATAAACCAATTAAATAAGAGAAATAATTCCATTTTTGTGAATCTTATATATATATATATATATATATTTATATTTATGTACATATACTTTAATATGTAAAAATACTTACTGGACCAGGATGCAATCGAAAACCGGCAAGCTGTACACTCGTTAAAGGTAATAATTCTTTACCGCCTATGGGAGGTTTCTCAATTACCGATCTTAAAGAGCTTAAAAAGATAAAAAGAACAAAATGTGAAGTAAACACTTATAATGTTTAAATACTCTTGTATGAGAAAAAATTTAAATTAAATTAATTTTAAAATCATGCAGGCAAAATTTATGCATAATGGAATGGAACACGCAAGGCACTGTCCAATATTATCGTAATATAACTGACTTTAATTATATTAGGTTAACGTTTGTATTTTTGTATTTTAAATTAATATATTCTTGTCTATTAAAATATGTAATTTTTAAGTTACCTGTTTAAAAAGCTCGAAATGAGCCACTAGTTAAATTACGTTGCAATAATATGAGCCTATTTACTTTAATTTTAAATTAAATTACCTATTATCTTGATGCCCAGGTCTGTCTATAATACCAGGCAAATTTGGCAAAAAAGATGATAGCTGTTCCTTAAGCTTTTTACCACTAAACTTGCTATATGAGTGTTCCAGGCCATAATAGGCCATCAAATTTGTTGCTCCAGTCAGTTCGCTTTCCCCTAAAAAGTAATGTATAATTTTAAGTTTTACTAATTACCTTTTTAAGATTATATCTCATTCATACAAAAACTTGAATCAACTTGTATATGCTGTACATATTGATCTTTTTCTATATCCGTGACTTTCTCGTTACCTGGGGGTTCTTTCATCAGATAAAATGGTCCACTGTGGACTATGGAAGGATTTTTTCCAAGGGAAATGGTTGTCTTTAGTGTTCCTGTAGAATCTTGACGAGATACTACTGGAGACCGTGCTCCTCTTGGTGAGGATTTTGGTGAATATTGTTCCACTTTACTTCGAAACTGATCGCCCATCATCATCCTTGCTGCTTTAGTTTATCGCACCTTCACCAAAAGTAATAAAGGATCACTTTTTCCAGGTACAAAGAGTACCAAGAGACAAAGCAACAGTGAGATAATTTATAATTTGACAATTTATAACCGGCGAATCTTGAATGTTCGTCGAATGAACTGAACTATCAGACTCGACACCTGACTCAATTAGAAACTAAGCAAACCGTGCTAATTCATCTGCAGTTTCTGCATCGCGACGTGAACGTATCAGACATCGACCAGGTTCACTTGTAAGAAAACGGATTGCTCAAACCGCAATGCGACTCAAAAGATACGTTAACAGTTCAGATTTCCTCTTTCACTCTCACACCGGTTTCTACGACATCTCGCTAAAGAGATGACAACCAGGTACCGGGGCACTGGCGATCCACCGCTAACATGCTTTCCTCCGTCACTCTCGCTAGCCGATAATGCTCTTTTACAGAGAACAAGTAATCAGGTTCGCTCGACGCAACAGATTCGTCTTTAGTCTTCCCAGCCGTTACGCGCGTAGTGTCGCGTACTCCACTCGTCCCTTCTACACCTTCACCCTCCATCTGCCCTCGCCATCATATGTATTTCGTGCGGATGCGTATGAAAGCTCGCTGATGTATTGAATGAGTATGCATGGACTATGGAGACAGATACTGGATAAGAACGCATTCAAGCAGTATTTGTGATTGGCTGCGTTCAACAAAGAAAGTAGCTTTGCAACTGTAAAATTCTTCAATATGATTGGTCTTGTTCATAGTTCCTTATTGGATCTAAATGTATAAACCAATCATATTCAAGAATTTTACAACACTTAGAATAGTACAAATCTGCTTTCTCTGCTAAACGCAACCATTGGCTTATAATATCTTAATATTAAGCGGCGAGCACAGCTCTTACATAATGCATAATATGGGTCATCTAAAAAGTATCCGCGGTACTTTGTCACTAGATATATGACCATCAACACACATCTAGTGACAAAAAAACGCGGATACTTTTTAGATGACCCAATACATGAGGCAATAGAGATGCATAAGAAAATGAACCAATCACAGTCCTTTATTTCCTTCCTTTCTGTAAAATAGAGGACTCTGATTGGTTGATGATTTTCTTGTATCTCATGTTTTATGTGTTATGCAAAAGTCTGTGTTCCTCGCTTTATATCTTAATAAGATGATCTTGAATGTAAAAACCACAATGTAAGAATAATGTATATCATTTATTTGCTACAACACAACACAATTAAAGCAACAAAACTAGAAAATGAATTTGAATGTTTTAAATCATTGAATTGTACAATATTCATTTTGAAATGCAATTTTAATTTAATAATTAATTGAAAGAGAATAAAAGTATGTTATTTTTTATCTCCCGTTACACAAATGCATACATATTAAAAATTTATATAATAAATTTTACACCCTGATAAAAATTTATGAATTATCGGCCTAAAGACGCGAAATGTCACATGGCAGGAAGTGACAGTGTAGTATCCAATCAAATTTTCGCTCTTACAGAAAAGCAGTTCGTACACAATTAACACATCAAAATACGTAGATTTGAGGTTAAAATCAGATGTTCAAGTCGAATTTTCATCCTCAGAAAAATCTATGAAAATATAAATTGAAAGGCAAGACTAAAACATTGCGAGGTATAAATTGCGAATTATTGTTTAAAATTACAGAATATTATCACGAAAGATTGTTGTTGCGCGATTAATCAGACTCATTGGTCTAGTTTACATCGTGCACTTGATATGGGTAACTGTCTATTGAATTATCTTAATTTCGGCGATACGTGTAAACATATACATGATATGTGTATTTGATCAATCATTTTGATATATGTTGTACTAATTTAGTTCATCATTCTTTAAATATATTGCTGAAATTAAAATAATTTAATAGACAGTCACCAGTTAATACACGTATTTATTTGTTGACGAGTTAAAATATAAGTGAAAAATTTATTCATATTGTGTTATTCATTGCGATTTGTCATGGCAGATGAATCCTGTGTTATACACGATCCGAGCTTGCGTCCGCTTTGCGAGACACGCCAAATATAGTACTCTACCTTCAGAAGCGGTAATATTTATGGAAGACAATCGCATGGTTGTCTGCTGGCATCCAGAGAAGATATTTCCGTACGAGTGTTCCTTACCTCTGCCCGAAGAAAAGCCCGACATTTCTGTACTGCGTATCGGAAACAAAGAAGTCGCTGAGATGTTTAGGAAGAAGAAGGAATATCAGGTTGTGGAAGAATTAGCGAAAATCACATATACTACCAAGCACAAGTGGTATCCTAGGTCCAGAGACAAGAAAGCAAAAGATACGGAACCTGATAGACCATACTTGTAACATTCAACAAGAATCCGAAACGTTTCTTGGTAAAAAAGTACTATATTTAATTCACTTTACATATGTAGTTATATTCTGCAAAACATATATTAATAAATGTACAAAGATAATTGTTATATCTGTCTGTATAAATGATTGCTTACATATATACTCAATGTGTTTTTTTTTAGAATTTAAATATCATTTGATACGATTCTACATTTTTTTATGTTATAAATTAAATAAATACATGTTTTTATCAGGCAATTACATTACACTATTAGATATACATTATTTTAATGTTTTACTTTTAGCTTAATTTTCTCTCTTAACTCGAAGCAATAATTTTGCACTGAACATTTACTGCATTAAAATGTATTTGTACACAATTCTATTATTATATTATTTACTTTATCAAATTGCACATAATTATATATTCTGCAAACTTTTAATTATTAAAAACACTATGTCGTCACATTTCTATCTGTACATCAAAAATTAATATACAATACACTTGTATCTATATAGATAAAGTCTAGCGCGATATTAAAATTGATTTGTTATATTAATCTATTTTACTTTGCTTGTATTATAAATGGCAAGGGAAAATCTGACTCTCTCCCTCGTACATAAAAATTTGTAAAGCTTTGTATAATAAGTATCTACCAAATTTCTGTTTTTGTTGCATGCTCCACGTTGCCGCGATACCATAGTATTTCCCACCTATAGAGTTTCTCAAATATTCCTTTCCTATCGCGTCTATCATGGCAGCTTCTCTTGTGTAAGCCTCTACTGGAATAATATTTTGAAAAACATGCAAACAGATCACACCGCAATCGTTGTCCCATATATTGAGAATGCAATTGATTTTTCTATTTGTACTATTACCACCACCCACCCACGTCTTGAAAGCGTCATAAAGATGAGCAAGAGGTCTGGAACGTTTGCCTTTACCAATATAAAATATAGCGTTAAGAAAGATTGACCAAACTTCTGATTCTGTAAGATGAACACTACGATTTGGCAGATCCTGCGTTATACGTGGATCTAGCAGCAGATATGTGAAAGATGTTTTTGATGTGCCTTCACGCCATCTTCGAGACGGATCTGGCGATAAAAATTCTTGAAATACTTGCTTCTCCATACTTCTGTAGGTGTCCAGATGATTTAACCAATCTCCAAGCTCCAAATAAGGTTTGATTTTGTCTAGCTTTGAAATCTGATTTCTTGGAGAATTTTGCAGATTTGGTATGAACGAAACAGAATTGGCATCTCTGATATTTCTTAAACGTAAAAGACGTTTTTGATAGAGCTGTCTAGTTGTATTAGTGATTGGACCAGGTTGATCACCAAACTGCCTAAGTTCTTGTCTAAGAGCAACATCATCGATAAACAGTAACTCTTCTGGTAAACTTTGAGGAGTGGATGTACTTGAAACACCTAACAAGTAAATTATTTTTTATTTCTATCGATATGATAATCCTATATTTAACAATGACATTGAAATTATTTATAGCTTACCAGACATTTTGCTTCTAACATATTCACTATCAGAACTGAAAAATTGATAAGTTTGATAAGATAAATTTCTTAACTTTTCCTTTGCAGAGATATGATTCAATGATTCAATGATTCAACTTAATACAGATTGTGAAGTAAAAGTAAAAATTGTAATTGTAAACTCACTTAAATGGAGTAATACAAAATCGCCGTTCTAATAAAATTACACCTTCTTCTGGATCTTCATATTTATACTCTTGGGTACTAACATATGAAAGCAGAGATCTAAAATTCGTAACAATCAAGTAATTATTCTTTCATTGATATCGTTTTGAAAGTATACTGTGCTATACTCACGAATCATTACACACGTCTAATTCTTTTGCTTTTAATAAACCTTCTGTTCCCTTAGAATCGGTACTTCTTGAGGAATATGATTTTTGAGAGCCGAGTATATAAATTTTTTTCTTACATTGTATAGGTAGATTTGTAGCAGGCAGTGAATTATTTTCTATAGGCGATTTATATAATGGAGATAAGTGAAACCTATCATACCAATTTTTTGCATGTAAATTACAAGTCTTGCTTATATTCATATTTAAATCTTCATTTAATAATTTCTTAGTATCACAATCAACGCAATCTACAAAATTTTCCTTATGCAATGAATCAGATTCAGTTGTACATGTAGATTTTATATTAGTGTCTACTGATTTTTCCAGTGGTTTATCAATAACAAATTTTTTTCTGATTGTTATAAATTCGGTGTTTATTTCATTATTTCCAAATTTGGCATATTTTTTATTATTGCTAAAATTGCTAACAAGTTCGTTCTCTTGCTGAATTTGATTAAAACTGCTATTTGTATCTAAAAGATTTGCGTCACTGTTATTATCGATTACATCAGTCTCGTCATATCTTTCTTCATCCAATTTTATTGCCAAATTATTTTTATGTTGATCTTGTTGTTCTATTTTTATAGATTTGTTAAAATTTAATAATGAATGTTCACTACTCGTACCTAGAATATCGTAGTGAGTTGTATCAGAAAATATTGTTTTATCTAAATCAATTGGCTTTAATATATTATTAGAAATAAATTCATCAGAAGTGATATCGCTTTCATATCGATAAGGTTTAAATCTTTTTCGGCCAGAATGGAACTTGTATATCGATCGTTTCTTAATTCTTCTTGGTGTTGATTGAGCTACATGTTTTTTATACCAATTACATTCAGGATATTGCATCTC